AATGTAAAACTAATGTTCTCCCATGTAAACTATCACATAATTCACAATAAGACATTTATTTAAAATTAAAAAAAAGGTCTTGTGCGGCAGATTTTCCTAATGCAATATGTCCTTTGATTTCTTGACTGTTTCCATGAGTGTTGATGGTTAATTCAAGCAAAATGAATCTTTGACAGCTTCAATCTTTTCTCCATTTATATGGATGTTGTTTAATGGTCCAGTGGTGAGGATTTTTGTTTTCTTTACATTGAGATGCAATCCATATTGAAAGCTTTGGTCTTTGATCTTCATCAGTAAGTGTTTTAAGTCTTCTTCACTTTCAACAAGCAAGGTTGTATCATCTTCATATCTTCCTCCAATTCTGATGCCTCATTTTTCTTCATATAATCCAGCTTCTCTGACTCTTTTCTCAGCATACATTTTGAATGTTGTTGTTGTTAAGTGCCATCGAGTCGGTTTCGACCCATAGCGACCCTGTATAGGGTTTCCAAGGAGCGGTTGGTGAGCTTGAATCACCAACCTTACGGTTCAAACAGCTTTGCAGTCTGGCACATTAACCCACAGTGCCACACCAGGACGCCTTACATATTGTATAAGTATAGTGAAAGAATACAACCCTGGCACACACTTTTCCTAATTTTAAACCATTCGGTGTTCCCTTGTTCTGTTCAACAATTGCCTCTTGGTCTATGTACAGCTTCCTCATGAGCACAATTAAGTGTTCCAGAATACTCATACTTTGCAATGTTGTCCATAGCTTGTCATGATCCACATAATCGAAAACCTTTGCATAGTCAATAAAGCACAGGTAAACATCTTTCTGGTACTCTCTGCTTTCAGCAAAGACCGATCTGATGTGAGCAATTATATTCCTCATTCAAAGTGCTCTTCTGAAACCGACTTGAACCTTTGGAAGTTCTCCGACAGCTGATTTTGCAGCTGATTTTGTATTACCTTTAGTGAATTTTTACCTGCATGGGTTATCAGTGATATTGTCTGATCGTTTCTGTACTCCATTGGGTCACCTCTCTTTGGAAGGGGCACAAATAATGTATCTCTTCCAATCAGTTGGCCAGGTAGTTAGTTGTCTTTAAATTTCTTGGCATAGATGAGTGAGTGACTCCAGTGCAGCATCAGTTTGTTGAAAGATTTCAATTTTTATTTCATTAATTCCTGGTACCTTGTTTTTCGCCAATGTCTTCAATGTACCTTGGACTTCTTTCAGGATCATTGGCTCTTGATCATATGCTCCCTCTTGAAATGGTTGAACACTGACCATTTCTTTTTGGTACAGTGATTCTGTGTGCTCCTTCCATCTTCTGATGCTTTCTTCATCATTCAATATTTTGTCCAAAGAATCCCTCAATACCCTAAGTCGAGGCTTGAATTATTTCTTCAGTTGCCTCAGCTTGAGAAATGCTGAGTGTGTTCTTCCCTTTTGGTTTTCTAACTCCAAGTCTTTACACATTTCATTATAGTACTGAAGTGTGTCTTCTCAAGCTGCCCTTTGAAATGATCTGTTCTGGTCTTTTAATCCCTCATGTCCTCCATATGCTTTAGCATCTCTACACTTGAGAGCAAGTTTCAGAGTCTCTTCTGAAGTCCATTTTGGTCTTTTCCTTCTTTATTGTCTTCTTAATGACCTGCTTTCTTCCTGTATGATATTCTTGATGTCATCTCACAACTCTTCTGGTCTTCAATCTTTAGTGTCTAATGCATCAAATCTGTTCTTGAGATGATCTCTAAATTCAGGTGGGATTTGTTTAAGGTCATATTTTGGCTCTCATGGACTTGTTTCCATTTTCTTCAGCTTCAGTCTGAATTTGCATATGAGTAATTGATGGTCTGTTCCACAGTCTGCCCCTGGTCTTCCTTTGGCTGGTAATATGGAGCCTTTCCACCATCTCTTTCCACAGATGTAGTCAATTTGATTTCTGTGTATTCCATCTGGTGAGGCCCATATTTATAATCATACTTTATGTTTTTTTAAAAAAAACTATTGCAATGACAAAGTCATTGGTCTTGCAAAATTCTATCGTGTGATCTCCAGCATCATTTCTATCACCAAGGCCATATTTCCCAACTGCTAATCCTTCCTCTTGGTTTCCAACCTTTGCATTCCAATCACCAGTAATTAGCAATCCATCTTGACTGCATGTTTGATCAATTTCAGACTAAAGAAGTTGGTAGAATTCTTCAATTTCATCATTACCAGCTTTAGTGATTGTGTGTAAATTTGAATAATAGTAGTATTAACTGGTCTTCCTTGTAGGTATATGGATATTATCCTATCACA